ACTATCACTGCCACTTTTCGCTCTGTGTCACTGCCCTCACTCATCTGTTTACCACTTTCCTCGCACCCGCGAGCTGGTCTCAGGCTGTGCTGCCGAGCAGGGTTATCTGGTCATTCCCATATGGGGAGTGTTGCGTCTTCAGGAGTAGCATTGTAACAATTGTTTTATCGTCATCCTCTCGCGGTGCATTCGGGGCCCCCCTATACGATACGCGACATGGATGTACTTGTCTAGATCGACTGTGGTGACCGATCCACGTAATGCTCTGTCGTATGTGTGGGACGCACGGGAAGACGGCATGTTCTAGTCGTGCTGATAACCGGATATGTCGCCGAGGAGCAACTCGCAGTGCTGTCAACTTGCTTTCCTCCGATGAGTTGTGAGTCAGTCGGTCGGTCAGCTGGCCGGCTCGATCGAAATGGGTGGAGAATACCTTTGCTTGGTTTGACCTTCCAGGCGCATGGAACAGGCTGGAATACGATATGCGACCCGGCAGAAGGGCTCTCTATGGAGGGATAGTGATGGGCTACAAACTGCTAATATCGGGGAACGGATTCAAGAAAAGCATAGTAATTGCGCTCATAGTGAAGTTGTGGCGTCACAGTGAGTCTCAAGTTAGGGTACAGCCAGCGCTCTATTGAACACAGTGAGCCACCTCTGGTGTGCTGTTACCCTCAATCAACAATCCTCTCCACAGCACAACAGTCGACTTCATATTCTCCCTCTTCAGTATATCCGTGACACAGTTCTTGTTGCTCTATCAAAACCACTTCGCAGTCACACGCGGAATTGGCCTATCACCGCATATAAGTCCTGGGCGAGTGGTACGAGGATTTAACAACGCAGCGGGCCAGCCCAGCCAGCCTCTGCATTCCACCTTGGAAACCAGTCAATCTCCAGGCTGTATATTGGCTGTATACTCTGTACCTCGGGATCTTCCCTCCAGTCTCTTTGATATATCATCAAAAGTTGAACAGAGGGACAAACGCGCGGCAGGTGAAAAGCCAATATAACTAGTTTGGGGTTAGTGCCTGCATGCGCTGCCGAATGAGGGAATCAGCAAGCCGGTCCATGATTTTCACGGAGCTCTCATTGTCTTCGGCCTTGGCGCTCGTTTGGAGGTGCTCGTCGTATCGGACTGGGCTGGGCGTATTCGTACATAAGGTGGGCAATGGGATACCTTCGTTCCTTGTCCCTGGATTGGCACATACTTCAAAGCGGTTGGTTTGATTTCTTGGCCCTAATGATCAGGGAGGTACATCGCGCAGCTGCAGTGGATGCTGTACTTTATGTGTCTGCGCAGACCCAACGCATCCGCGCTGCCGGCCGCGTCAACCAACAAATAGAGCTGGGCGAGTTGGTTGTTGTTGCATCTGACAAAGTACGTCTTGCTTTCTTTATATCGGGAACCATGCCTATCGTTGGGGGATCCTTGATCTAACACATATCCGAACAAAGAATTGAAAACGCCAACAGCCATAGGAAGAGGAAAGATTTGGGATATTTCAGAAAGAAAGATAAAGAAATAAAAAAAAATCTCGACCTTCATTCTCCCTCATGCCGTCTGACTCGGTTTCGAACATGATTCAGTCGACTGGTCCTCCTGCAAGCCACACGCAACCATCGCTGTCGACCCACGGAGAGGCAACCATATGCCGTCAACGTTCTGTTGACATGTACGGGCAGCCCTCAAAGACAACCATGCCATCGACCAGTGGTGTTACCGAAACCAGTGAGACAGACAGCTTTCCGATCACAAGGGAGCCAAGCAGCTGACAAAGTCAATATCTTGCTTTCTTCGCTCGATTAGGGCAACAGACATCCCATGCACAAAGCCAGCCAGCGAGTCGAGTCGGGTCGAGTTTCATTCGCGCCAGGGATCTATCTATCTATCCGTGGAGTCGCCTAGAAATGTATGACCAGCTAATATCTACCAGCCACATATTCCCCGGACCTTCCTCGCAGGATTTTGTCCGCGCCTAGGCCAATTTCAAAGCGATCCAGGGAAAGGCGTTCCATTGAGAAGGAGGACAAAGACTCCGTCATCACGATCTCTATCGAAGCTCGCTAGAATAAAGTACCTATCAGCCAGCCAGCCTTCGAATAAAAGCTACAGGGCCCGGTTTGCTTGGCCGTGTTCTAGACCGCAAACAGGATGGTTTCCTATTGACAAACTGTGAAGTTATGTCATGCTGCCTACTATTCTATTGCTACGTAGACGGGTTGCCTGTTCCAACCGCGGCTTACCGTGAGAGCAGCCATTGGTGAGAAAGTATTTCACTCCACCGCATAATCTGCGTTCTCGGTTTTCCGTGGGCTTTCGTCAAGTCCGGTTGCACAGGCTGGACCGGCGCTGTTTTAACTGGAGCAGCAAACTCTAAGGAGAGCTGATGCATATACTATTTACGGCCTACTTACGCCATTCGGCATCTAGTACTTTTGTATGTGTTTATATTGGTTTTCGAGGTGAGCTGTTGCTTTTTGCTTTGGAAGCCGCTGGCTGAGCGTAGTGTTCAAGCCTATTGAGCTTATACATTGCCACATCCCTTCATCGCATACGAGATTTGAAAACAATTGCCATAACCGTAACTGCTCACGGATATCTCTCAAAGGTATACATTATACAAGCACACGAGAGGCACCACATTTTATTAAAGATAGACATCTCTTCTGTGGTGGGATTTCAAAGTTGCCCAATACCGACCAGAAGGACCTTGTCTCAAGACCGCTACACCAAAATGTTGACCAACGATTGGTATAGGGCTTACCCTGACTGATATACCCAACATATTGTACTTTAATGAGTCTATAGGACTTGTTGTGACAGAAGGTTCTTCCCTACTAATAGAATACACTCTATATACACCCTCCAATCACCACCTTTTTCTATGACATACTGCCTACGCCCTCATCTCTTTGTGGCAGCTTGATTATGACGCATTACATGCTATTTGGATCTCCTATCCAAGATCATTGTGAACTTCCAAGAGAAGTTGACCGTCTGCCACTTGAGCACTAGATAAATACAATATGTCTACTTTGTTCCAGGTAGCAGTCCAGTTGATTAGCTGATATGCTCATCCAACCCAAGAGATAGGGAGTATCACTTCGATAGTCTCTCAACTTCTTGAAGCCATTCTTGATTCCAAACGCTTTATAGATAGTCTGACCAAGATATACACGCTTGTTCCGTACGCAGACACCACTCACTGAAGGGGTTTACTTCCGTGCTTTCGTTACTTTGTAAGGGCCAAGAGAGACGCCTCCAATAGATCGTGATCACCAACATAGCGCACCCTGACCGGAGTATGGCCGACCCAAGCCAGGCCCTCGTGGCAGACGGCCACCAAAGGCCGTGGTTGATTACCCATAAACGCAGTTTATCATCTTGAGTGTATTAATATATATTCATAATTCAAAATCGTTCGCATTTCCTGTCATCTTCCATCAAATTGACACTCGATTCGATCAAAATCACGAGGGAGAGTCCAGCAGACGACTTCAAATATCGCTTCCCGAATTACAACGCTTCTGGGTTCAGTCTGCGGCCAACATTTGGAATAGACGACTGCATTGCGATCTTCACCCCCGCCATAGCTTACTGCCGTATTGGCAACTCCCGCAAAGACGTCTCCCCGTATGCACCACCAACTGAGATGAGCCCTCTGAACGCATACAACAGCTGGGCTCTCAAATCGCCGTGGACAGGGAAGCAAGCCGATGTGCACGAATGGGAGCATTGTGATATCTGCTAGGTCCTCGCTGTAGATGGACGAGGTCTACGCTGTTCCTACCTAGAAGGTCCGGGCCGCGGTCAATCTACGGATATTGGCAAACTCGCACCCGTGGGTGTATAGGGACGAACGACGTTTGCGAGAGGGCAGTCTCTCATCTATGTGTCTTGGGTGTAGTTCCGGGCATGCTACTGACCGAGCCTGTAAGACGTTATGTTATATGTCTTCGAATTCTTGGTTGATGTGCTTACCAGCATTGTCGGTGATGAGAGTCATATATCAGGTCTGAGAATCCAAGTAGCCCACACGTTCAATATATGAGTTACTCGGACGACGTTGTCTTGATTTCCTAATTGGAGATCTTCAAAAGTTAGGAAATATAATATATGTCTATGTGCTTCTATTGTACGAAGCGAGCTCTAGTCTGCACTCCGGATGAGGGTACTGGTAGGAAGCGGGCGGCGTATTCATCAGTGTGTCTGTTCTGCGAGCAAATTTTGACAAGACAGACAAGATGATGACTGGATATTATAAGCTTGGATAGTAGACGCTCTCTTGAACCCCGAAAGTATTACGATATCTTTCTTGCTGTGGTAGTGCAGTAGTTTCACGGCTCTATGTGTATAGGTTATATATAATTACTGGGGTCCGGATATATCTTCTCATAAGGGCCAAGTAGATCAACGAGTTTGTCTATCTATCTACCATATCACCCGAATAATATAAATGATTCACAGAGAAATTGAACAATCATCGGTGGTATCGAGTATTCCATGCAGTCGATGTGTTTGAGCGGCTGATATAGTATGGAAGATTTTAGACTTGATCTATGAGAAGAATGTAGGCCTCGTTTATATCTCTCTACTCTTTACTAGACTATATGATGTGCTCGAGCCTCGATAAAGCACTTGTCATTCTTCTTACCAGTATATGTTTACTATTATATGTCAGGACCGCAAGCTGCTGGCCTACGATAGTCTTGAGCAATGGAGAAGAACGCCTGCGCGAGGATCATCTGGAAGATGAATGGGAGAGTCAAGCAAGTGCTCTTGCATCTGTTGAAGGTACTCTTGCATCAATCCCGATTCAATGGCCGAGACGTGCCCACATTAGGAATAGAATTCCCTAGCATTATTGCACTTTGTCCTGACGATTTATGACTCAGTCGATCCCAGCAAACGTTGCTTGGCCCAATTGAGGATCTCATGCATTTGGCAGTCTCCCGTCATACGATCGAAGGATATTCGCTTGACACAGGCATTGTCCCATCCAGCGCGATTTTAAAGCGCCCATATGCGCGTGGGACAACCTCTCCCGAGAAATTCGACAGGACATGGCAGCTCGGCATGGTTACGAAGCCTACACTCTCCGATGAAATCAGGATCAAGTCGGATGAAGTGTCAGGAGATACATCTCCCACACTATAGATCGACATAGTATAGATAGCGAGTATGGCAGAAGGAGAGCATGAGGCATGAAGAGCATTGACGGACACTGTCAATGGGATGACTCGACGTCACAGCTCATGGTCAGAATCGGAGAGCACCGGTTCAACCGAGGCACAATTGGGCTATCCACCCAGGACGCCAACGGGATCCGAGTGGATCTCCGACTGCCCCGGATTCTCATCGTCAGTGGGACAGACGAGAAGAAGGGCTGGCAAGATGGAGAGAAGAACCCCATTCAAAGACTAAATGGTCTAGAATTGGCGGATGATCCCGGCGAGTTTCTCGGGAAGGACCGTGACCAGAGTCGCTCGTTTGGGTTTAGCGCGGTGGGCTATTTTGGGCATGTGATGTGTCAGCTGACTGGCTATCTTTATCTAATTGATGAATTTTGATATTCAATCTTTTTGAAGTTTGAATGTGAATGGAGATCAGGATAATAATGAATTGGAGATATCTACCGAGTAGGGGGAGTATGTACCTAATTACCTCGTAATCTACAATATACCGTCCAGCTATTCCCATCTGGCTGGTTCAATTTAATCATCCCTGTCCAATTCGGAAGTTTCATACTGTGCGACGTCAGTCGGGTCTATCAAAGACTGTCGTTTCATATGCATCACGACCTCTTCTCTCCAAATCATTGAATTGAGTCACCATTGAATCATCAGTCGATCCTGTATTTTGACCCCTCAGGAGGAGTGTTGACTGCTCCCCTCACGACAAATCCATCTCCTCACCGAGATCAGTTCCCCTCACCCCAATTCTTAATAATAATCCCAATCTGTTACCGGACAACAGACGAGTTTGGGTGGCTCCAGGGGGGGCGTTGGAACGAAAAGCCCCACGGCAGACCCCATTAAGAGGGTAAAAGAGGAAAACTTCCACCGGGACAGCTAAACCTTCTACAGTCCCAGCAAGCACACCGATTCGCCCAAAAGAGCTAAAAACGCTATCGCAATCAGTCACCTGGGCGGGCATATTTTTTTTTTTTTTTTCTGTCTTTCCTCGAGGCTTGTGGTTTATTATCAAAGAGGTCGATCTTCTTATCCACCCCTTCTTTCTTCTCTCTTCTTTCTTTCTTTCTCTTTTTCCCATTCCCTTCTTTCACTCCCTCCACCTCTCCCCTCCCTTCCACCTGCGCTCTTCCTGCCTCGCCCTTGTCTAGGTGCGACAACCTAACAATGGTTGGAAGTACTTTGGCCATGCGAGCCAACATGACCCCCCCGTCAATCATGCATTTGTCGTCGCTGTCGCGCAGGTCGCTCTCGACGCGCTCTCCCTGCCATGCCCTTCGCGCTGCTCGCCCTTTGCGCTCCAGCGGGCTCTCCCAGCAATCCGTCCAGCGCGTCGCCCGTCGGACTTACGCCGATGCCGCCCCGACCGCCCCCGCCCCGAAGCCCAAGCAGCGATTCCGGTTTTTGCGGTGGGCTTGGCGCCTGACGTGGCTGACCGGTTTGGGGATGACCGGTGCCTTGGTTTACAGCATCTACGAGCAACGTCATCCGATCGAGCAGTCCGAGCCGGACCCGTCGAAGAAGACCCTGGTGATTCTGGGTAAGTGAGGCTTTTGCGCGGTCTCCTGCAGTGTCCCGTTCGACGCGACAACGAATATAGTTGCTGATGAGAATTCCGCGCGCCAGGTACCGGATGGGGCTCCGTTTCTCTGCTGAAGAAGCTCGACACGGAAAACTACAATGTCGTCGTGGTTTCCCCCCGAAACTACTTCCTCTTCACCCCCCTGCTGCCGTCGTGCACCACCGGTCTGATTGAGCACCGTTCGATCATGGAGCCGATCCGGAACATCCTTCGCCAGAAAGTCGCCGGCGTGAAGTTCTACGAAGCCGAGGCTACAAAGATCGACTACGAGAAGCGCGTGGTGTACATCAGCGACGACTCCGAGATCAAGGGTGATATCTCGCACACCGTGGTTCCCTTCGATATGCTTGTCGTGGGTGTCGGTGCCGAGAACGCTACTTTCGGTATGTACCAATTCGATACTCCTCCCTCTTGATGACACCCGCTGACGCACAATGATAGGCATCAAGGGTGTTAAGGAGCACTCCTGCTTCCTGAAGGAAGTCGGCGATGCGCAGAAGATCCGCAAGCGTATCATGGACTGTGTCGAGACCGCTATGTTCAAGGATCAGTCGCCCGAGGAGGTCAAGCGTCTCCTGCACATGGTGGTCGTCGGTGGTGGCCCGACCGGTGTCGAATTCGCCGGCGAGCTGCAGGATTTCTTCGAGGAGGACTTGAAGAAGTGGATCCCCGATATCCAGAAGAACTTCCACGTCACCCTGGTCGAGGCGCTGCCCAACGTGCTCCCCATGTTCTCCAAGCAGCTCATTGACTACACCGAGTCGACCTTCAAGGAGGAGGCTATCAGCATCCGGGCCAAGACCATGGTCAAGAACGTCACCGACAAGTACATCGAGGCTGAGGTCACCAAGCCCGATGGCTCCCGGGAGTTGGAGACCATCCCCTACGGTCTGCTGGTCTGGGCCACCGGTAACGCGGTGCGCAACGTCGTTCGCGACCTCATGAACCAGCTTCCCGCCCAGAAGAACTCGCGTCGCGGTCTGGCCGTCAACGAGTACCTCGTCGTCAACGGCACCGAGAACGTCTGGGCCGTCGGTGACTGTGCGATCACCAACTACGCCCCCACCGCCCAGGTTGCCGGCCAAGAAGGTGCTTTCCTGGCGCGCCTGTTCAACACCATGGCGAAGACGGAGACTCTCGAGAAGGAATTGAAGGGTCTGTCGGACGCCCAGGCCCTGGCCAAGAACGGCGACGAGCGGAACAAGGTCTTTGACGATATCCGTGAGCGCCAGCGTCAATTGCGCCGCATCAAGCAGATCGGCCCCTTCCAGTACTCCCACCAGGGCAGTCTGGCCTACATTGGCAAGGAGCGCGCGGTTGCAGATATCAGCTGGCTGAGTGGCAATATCGCAAGCGGTGGCACCATGACCTACCTGTTCTGGCGCAGCGCCTACCTGAGCATGTGCTTCAGCAGTAAGTTTTAACCATTTACCCCTTTCTTTGTGAATAGTTTACTGATGATTATTATAGACCGCAACCGTGTTTTGGTCGCTGTGGACTGGATCAAGGCCAAGCTTTTCGGTCGTGACGTGTCTCGCGAGTAAACCTCTCGACCAACTACATCCCTCACTCACTCATACATCCTTCACTCACCACTCGGGGCACGAGGGAACCAATCTCTCGCTTTGTCCCTTCACCAAACCCCTCATCTTTCCTTGACGCCGTTTCCACGACCATGTTCTTTTCTTCTTCCACCTACCCTTCTTGCCCTCAACACCACGTAGGGCTGTCTAATACCTGGACTGTCCTTCAGCTGTGGTGTCAGTTACCTAGAACGCCATCTAGCTAAAGATATCGGTGCATTCTAGTCGGCTGATTTAGTCCGACTATCTCTCGAAACGAGGTATTCGAAAAGCACTAATTTTCCTTCTTATCTTATTTTTTTCTCCTTTGTTTTCTTCTCCGTGTATTGAATAGATAGACTGGCGTGGGGTTGATTGGTTTATTCATGTCTTTTCCTTTTTTTTTTTTTTTTTTAGAGATACTCTAGAACCTGCCATAATCGTTTCTATTTCTATTTTCTATGATCTTATTTCCTGTCTTTCTATTGTCCCACTTTGTCTTTCTCACTTGTCTTACTTAGCTTTCCTATCCTATCCTATCCTATCTTTTGTACTACCATCTTTGGAACATTTCCACTTTCTTTGTCTTCTATAAGCGTATCTATCTACTTATTGCCTTGAACACCACAAGTGGATACTTGATTTACATGGGTTATGTCAAACCAACCATGGAAACGAGTCTGACTAGATCTACTACCTGGAACAGACCTACTTAGCTCATTATGGATCGTGTTTGTCAATACGACCATACGTAGAATGTGCCTGTTACTTAGGTTTCTCTAGGCAAGCAGTCGACCATCTACCTCTTCTTCGAGTGGTACACGTAAGTACACGTGATATTTATCCGTTTGGTTGTGTGAGAAATATCAGTCAGCGTAGGACTCCGTGTGGGTGTTTGGTATAGCTTGGTACTGGATGATACTGTGCTACTTTATGGAAGATGGGAAAAGGGGTTGAATATGAATGTTTCCAGTATGGTGTGTTTAATATACATGGTTCGTCCTGAGTTGGAATAAGGAGTGGGAATGTATGTACCCAGTATTATAGATATCTGGGGTGAACTCTCAGATGAGATGAGACGGATGGTTGGCCTGGAGGAAGGTTGCAGACCATTGTAGAGGGAGTGACGATCCGAAATAATAAACAAGAAAGAGAAAAGAGCGAGAGAAAGAAGAAGAGAGAAATCAATATCTAGGTATCTACGCGCAAGTCAGACAGATCAATCATATCAGAACAAATTCCACCCCCTCCCGCGCTGCTCCTTCGCCAACGCCGGCCGCTCCTTACCACCCCGATGCAAACTGCTCCGCCCATCCAGCTGGCGAATGCTCTCGATCTTCTGCAGGGCCAGCTCGAGCAGCTCCTTCTTGCGGATGACGTCCAGGTGGCGGCGGATGCGGGGGTCTTCGCGCGCGAACCGCTCGATCTCTGCGTCGGAGAGGTGGCGACCCAGGCGGAGGTCCAGCTCGCGAGGGAAGTTGTAGTAGAATTCGGAGAGGAGCTCGACGTTGAGGAAGAGGACGGCGGTGGAGGTGAGCTTGTCGGCGACGACGTCGAGGAAGATCTCGGGGCAGTAGTATTTGTTCTTTTTTGTGGCGCATTGCTTGGACCGGATTGCGAGGAGGCGCATTTTGATCAAGTCGGCGCGGTCGCGGAGGAAGATGCTTTCGCGGCCTGGGGTTTGTAGGTTAGGATTGGAGTCTAAAGAGTGGGGGGGAGTTTTGGTTGGGAACTCTTGAGAGAGTTTTCGTACCTTTGGACAGAAGAGCAGCGCTGAAACCACCGGCACCGACGGCACCGTCGCCTTCGAGAACCAACTCGCCCTTTCGTACCTTGTCGACGAAACCCATTACGTCGCGGATCTTTCTCTTGCCGATGTTGTCTTCGACACGCTTCAATGCCGCTTCGCAAGCGCGAAGCTCGTCCTTTAGGACTTTGCTGACGTTCTCGCGGCCTTTGGTCCACTCAGGATCTTCGACTTCGATCTCGAACTTATACGGTTTGATGCAGTTCTCGACCTGGTCGCTGGTGCTGAAGAAGCGGTCGTTGAGGATGCTGGTGGACGCGTCCACGATCTGCTTCTGAGCGTATGGGTGGGCAGCGAAAGTGGAATCGGCGAGCAGTCGATCCACGTGGCTTTGGATGGCGTTCGCAACGACAGTCGTAGCGAGTCGGCCAATGCCGAGTTTGGTTAGGGAGGAAGTCGACGCGTCCAATTTACGGTGCCAATAGAGCGATTCTGGGTCGGCCTTGGGCAGGTCGCTGAGGGGATCGACTTCGGGCAGTGCGCTGGTCAGATCGTCGACTGGTCGGTTCCAGTATCTCTGGGCCAGGATGTCCATGACTCGCTGGTCCAGCTCATTCTTGAGCATCTCGCGGACTTGCGGTCGGCCGAAGTTTTCGGCGAACGCCTTGAACGAATGCTTGAAGCTGTCCAGGCTTTCGGCGAGATATGACTCTGCGCTCAGAGGACGGTCGTTATATTGGACCTTGAACTCGTACGTCGCTTCTTCTAGTTCTTGACTGATGGCGTCCCTAGTACCGGCTAGGCTTGACGCCATCGTCTGCTCGAGGACATGCATGAGCTTGTTGCGCAAAGTGTTCACGCCAACCAACACATCAGACTGCGAGCCAAACTCGGAGGGGTGCGCAGAGAAATAGGAATGCTCGTTCTTCATGATGGCACTCGTAATGTTGCCACTTCCTCGGGAGAATAGGGTTGTTGTTGGCGGAATGCGAGAGACGACTCCCACGTATCCTAGACGAAGAGGGTATTTCTTGTCGGCGAGCATTCTGGCGCCCCGCTCAGGATCAACTAGATCCATCTTCGTAATGACTCCAATCGTTCTCTCGCCTCGGGGATCGACCCTACGGCTTGCCCGGAGAGCGGTCGAGTTGGCAAGATCAACATCTGCGGCGGAGATCGCAAGAATCACGTTGGGCGCCTGGATGTACTTGTCGCAAAGGTCCGAGATTTTCTGCTTCAGCTGCGGGGGCTGGTCCTCGCCAGCAACTTGGATATATCCCGGAAGGTCGATGAGAGATAAATCAGGGACGTTGGGGGAGTAGATGGTGAGCTGAATCGGATCATCCGTCACGCAGTCCTTCTCAGGCACAGCCAGGTTGAGGTCGGTAAGGGTGCGCTGCACCTGAGAGAAGTCGGTGATCTTGCCCAATCCAAGAGCCGGGAACTCTCCATATTCAGCCTGCGCATTGGGTGTGTTGACAAGCGTAAGCTCGATGGGTCGTCGAGTGACCATGTTGGAGCCTTTCGGAAGGAATTCGTGGCCCACGATGGCCTCCAGAACCGAGCTTTTCCCGGACGACTGAGAGCCAATGACGACAATGGACGGGAGCGTGAGCGTGTTGGACTGCCCGACGGTCTGAAGGATATTCCTGATCTCAATCATCTTCCGCGTCAGAAGCATCATCTGATCGTCCTCCGCAGCCTGCTTATTCGAACGCTCGTCGTCATCCTCGTATGCCAACGCCGAACCGGTGGCCGCGCCTGCAGCCGCTGCAGCACCAGACCTAGCTTCCTTGGGTTCTTTTCCGCCCCCCGAAGAACCACCCTTGTTGGATTGAGACTCCTCGTCAAACCTCAGAATCTTCTGCAGCCATTCCGGGACTTCAATGTCCCCCGTAGTCTTCTGCCAGCCGCGCTGGGTCTGTTCCGCCATACCCTGCAGCTCCGAAAATAAGCTCGACGCCGTATCGCCTGCCGTTTCCCCAGCTCGCTTAAACACATCGATCGCATAAATTCCGGCCTCTGGTAAATTCACATTAGCCAAGCACATTCTCCAACACAAGTAGGACATTATCATTCACATACGGGTAGCCTGGTACTGAAAATAAGCGAATCCAGCCACCGTCGCCCCGCCCAACATCGTCGGAATCTTCGCGAGTTTCACAGCCAGCTTGGGAAGCATTCTCGCGAACGAGATGGTGCGCACAGCGGGGACATTATGGATAGCATTGGCCCCAAACGGCCAGGCCCGTCCTCGCAGCGCGGCACCGCCATCAGAGCGCAACAGGCCCCCGGTCCTAGCGCTGGCGTTGTGAACACGGCGGGCGAGGAGTCCCGTCCGCAAAAGCGGAACTAGTCGGTGGGAGATAATTCTCCCGCTCATGGTTGTTGTGATCTCATACACCTCTCTAGTAGAAAAGAGGGAAGCACGTAGTCATCTCCAGGGCTCAGCGCCACGTGGGGATATGATGATAGAGAGGAAGGTGCAGGCAAAGCTTGAAGAGCTAGCTGTTGGAGAATCGGATGATGTGAAGCCGGGAATGGAGAAAGCGGGATGTCATCGATGTCTGCCGGCGGGCCCCGTGACCTGCGCGCTCTGGCCGCGTCGCCGCCCGTACGGAGTCGGTGTGAGTCACGTGGGATTGGAATGGCGACATCATCATAGTAGATAACACATGTTTCTTTTACTATACTCTTTAAATACCACTTATATTTTTGTTAAAGGTCTTCAGGCTCAATTGATCTTGTAGTACTTGATACATATTGTGGTGCAGGGTGACGTGTTGCTCAATCGACAGTGGACAAACCAGATCCCACACGTTATCAGCCTGCGATCTCGGCCCTGCCGGTCAACAGTCGAAACTTCAACTTTCTAGCATTCCTTTATTCCAAGCTCATTGCCCCTATTTTGGTGAATCATAGCCTCTAGAGCACAGAGTAGTCGGACTTGAACCCTCTATCATGTGCCGTTTCTTGGTAAGTTGGCTTTGTACATTTCCTGTCCATACATACATCACTCCAGTACACATGTCTCTGACCGCTCCTTCGCAGATATACAAAGGCAGCCATGACATTCGCCTCAGCAAGTTGGTCACTGAACCCAGTCATTCTATCCTGACTCAGTCGTATGACTCTCGCTTAAGACTGGTAAGCTTTCGATATCATGCAATCGATACTTTCGGGAGAGCTCCGATCCAGCTAGTGTGCGGAGGAGTACCCTACGAGGATATACAAAAAAAAAAAAAAAAAGAAAGAAAGAAAGAAAGAAGACAAGTGCCATCTAACAAACAAACAGGACAACCGCCGCCCCGTAAACGGCGACGGCTTCGGCGTAGGCTTCTACACCGACCCCAAACTCGGCCCTGAGCCATGCATCTTCACATCCACACTGCCTGCATGGAACTGCGAGAACCTAGAGCGTCTCGCCTCCAAAACATGCTCAAACCTAATCTTCGCGCACGTGCGCGCAACAACAGAGGGCGCCCTCTCCGATAACAACTGCCACCCCTTCCAGCACCAGCGTCTAATGTGGATGCACAACGGCAACGTCGGCGGGTGGGGGTACATCAAGCGGACGCTGGCGGATTCGCTGGCCGACAAGTGGTACCTGGGTGTCAAGGGCGGCACGGACAGCGAGTGGGCGTTTGCGCTGTTTCTGGATCTGCTGGAGAAGGAGGGCGTGGATCCGAGTGCGGATCCGGGGCCTGATGGGTTTGGGCATGAGGTGTTGAGGCGTGTGATGGTGAAGACTATTGCGAAGATTAATGAGTTTATTCGCGATATTCCCAAGAGGCATAATGTTTCAGGGGTCGAGACGCGCAGTTTGCTCAATTTTGCTGTCACGGATGGGAATACGGTTGTTTGTACGCGGTATATTAGCAGCAAGACGGATGAGCCGGCGAGTTTGTACTTTTCGTCTGGGACAAAGTGGAAGGAGGGGGCGGATAAGGGCCATTATAAGATGGAGCGCCATGATAAGGGCGCGGATATCGTTTTGGTGGCTAGTGAGCCGATCACTTTTGAGAGACGTACGTTTTAAACCCCCCCCCCCTTCTTTCTCATTGGGAAAGGCAAAACACTGACAGTACCAATCATAGACAACTGGGTCTCCGTCCCCGCCAACTCCGTCGTCACAATCGACAAGCAGACCGTCCTGCTTCACCCAATCATGGACGAGTTCTACGTCGAGAACGTGAACCAAGACCGGTCCTCCTGTTTCGCCGTGTCCAAGGGCCTCGTTAGCACGGCGCCGGGAACCACGGTGCAGCCTCAGAACACGGAGGGCCCGCGAACACCGGCTATCAATCTGAACGGATCGAGGCTGGATGATCCCAGCGGAGGACTCGAACAGCACCAGATTTCTGTCGCGAATCAGTGCGCGTTGTCGCATTAGCGACTGTGTTGATTGAATATGATTTGGAGTTGATGGGCTCTGGCGTTGGTGATTGGATTACTATTGCGAGGTTGTCGAGAAGACATGGATGGGGTTGTTGCTTTGGTATTGTGGCTTTCGGTGCAGCATACATCATAGATATTTTTAATTTGACCATTTACTCTTTCTTGCCTACTAGTGTGTGGAGTTTGGGGCGTATTGCTATTAGGAGTTGTGAGCCTCATATAACTACTGTCTTCTAAGAGCTTGTCTAGGGCGACAAAAACAGCACATAAAGATCCATTGGTTGGTACAATCATATATCATCCCCCGAGATATTCGCATGCTTAAAATACTTCATACCCACCCAGGCAACCACAACCCAAACCCACGACATAACAGCCGTCAGAATAATAAGCGCCGGATAATACCCGACAATAGGCAGCGTAGGATCATCCTCCAGCTCAGGCGGCGCATAGGGCGTCTCACCGACATCCCAAGCCCAGCTCCACACCCCAAAGCAACTCCCCATGCCGACAACAAACACAATCCACGTCACAATCAGAATTATCCACCCCCACCACTCCGTCTCCGAGTAGTCCCGCACCAGTTCCGGGCCACCCGCTATATCCGCCGGATGAGTCGTGAGAGGCGATTTGGCCCGGTGGATGGCCCTGTACGCCGGCTCTGCCTGGAGAGCGTAGTAGGGGTCTGCGCTGGAAGCGGTCGTCGGGAGGTGCAAGCCTGCAGCGCCGGCATTGCTGCCCGCGGAGGAACTATGCAGCGCCGCAGCGACAGCGGCGTTTGTGTTCTTGACGCGCGGGAACGTCATGATCTCCTCGTCGTCGGTCGTCTCACCCCCGAGCATCTTGTCGTCCTTTGCGAGGGGCAGATGAGGATGGTCCCCCGCAGACCTCGACGGCGCCTCCATAAACGTCCACGCTCGCGTATTCTCATAACTTTCTTCTTCGTCCTGGTTGCCGATAGGGTACATGTCACTGCCGACAGGGAACGTCCCAGCGCGGGGCGGCGGCAGCTGCTGTGGTCCTTCCCTGACCTCCCCCCGCAGAACATCCGACGACGTCCGGCTGATCTTCTTATCGCGGTGTTCGAACCGCGTTCCCAGCAGCGCTGTCTTCCGTAGCGAGCCTCTCCGTCTGCGTGTGCGCTTGTGCTGCTGCAGCGCGGTCGACATGGCCTTGGCCCCCTTTAGGCCCGGGCCGAGCTCGTCGACGCTGTCGCGGTTGGCGCTGGGGTAGTTTCGCTGGGACGGATTATTGTCCTGGTTGGCTTGCATCATTCGCAGGAAGGAGAGCCGTGACAGGAGCGAGCTGGATGTGGTGCGCTTGTGTCCGCTGCTTGCGCTGCTGGAGCGCGTCCGCCCTGGGTGCTGCTGGTCATCGTTGTCCGGCGGCGCGGGGATTATGGTTTTGGGGCCGTTTGCATCTTCCATTGGCGCGAGGTGGGCGCAACCATATCAGCTGATGGTTAGGATGGTCTCATTCAGACTGGAGATGTGGAAGGTTGTTTTGCGCGGGTGTTCATTGGGAGGTTGTTTCTTGCGAAAGATGGAAGGGTCGGGATTGGAACGGGTAGTAGTAGTCTGGACCACCCAGAACCCGGGCGGTAAGCAACCCACTATCAACCGCACCCCGTGAGTACGGTACCCGGTCTTAGTAGACCCAAGTTTAGACCTGGTCTGGAAACGGTTTCTTGAGTGTGGAGTAATTCGAGTGACATCGAGTAGTTGGTGTCAATTAGATACCTAGGAATATAAAATACAAGCTATGACTGGTAGCTAGTCTATCTCCAGAATATAACAGTTTTGCTCTTGTTCTTTCACAACTTCTCATTTGAATGTCAGGGGTAAAGTACTATTGAATGTCCAAAACACCGGCAACCAGACCTAAAAGTAATGATTTGCCTCAGGGCACTGGCGACGAAAATCAAATTGGTATCATCAGGGGGACAGTTTTGTAGAACAGAATGCGAGAACGCATATTGAGAATGGCCAATATCATAGAGAATGAAAATAATGAACAGAAATATTCTGAAAGAAAACCAGCTATATGGCAGAACAAGAAATACAGTGCGGGCATGCATAAGAGAACCCGATTCCTGTAATCGGCCACGCATACAAACTATGTATGATATACTTTAGGAACTCCGAGAGGAAAGTTTCAAATGACGGTCCAAAATAATGATAAAGATAAAGAAGAGAGACATGGAGGTACTTTTTTGTTCTGCAAAAGACTTGGACCGTAAGTCCAAGAAGCTCCTGAGCAGGAATCTTGACATGATTGAAAGAAGTAATTGGGATTTAACCAGCAAGATGAACTTGGGGTATTTGGTGTACGATAACACACAGGTTTAATTTCAAAAAGAAAGCAGTCGAGAATGGGGGAAGCGCTTCAAAATCCATTTGAGACAACGATGGGAAACATTGCATGGGAAGAGAAGTATGCAGATCGAAGGGGAGGAGATGATTGGTAATTGGAATAAGAGAGAAGATAAGAAAAGAAGATTGAAGTAAGAACAAAATAGAAAAAAGAAAATAGTAGAAAAAGGAGACACGACAAGAGAAAAGAGAAAAGGAAAAACCACACACAAGCAAAAAGGGCCTCTTCTTATCACTGTAGGTAGCTATAACCACTAGCCATCTTGAAGATCAATCTTTTTGCTGACACTATGCTCAGCAGTAGCCAGGATGGTATGCTCGGGGAGTATATCGACAGGCTACGACTGGTAGCCTCCAAAGCCATTTCCGAAGTTGGCGTTGTTGGGTTGAGCCCAGCCGGCATTGGGTGCGGCTTGTCCGCGGCCGAAGCCAGCATTTGCAGGAACTTGACCATACCCCTGGCCAGCCATTCCCGATTGATCCCAACCTCTACCAGCCGGGTTTGGTCCTGAACCTCGTTTCATCAGCTACAGTTCCCCACTGTGATAAACGTCGTCGGTAGGAGAGCTACCTTGAGGAGCCATCGGTCCTCCTGGACCAGGGTACGGAGGGAAGAATGGGGTAGGGTTGGAGTTAAAAGGGGAGTTACCCTGGGGAGCAGAAAAGTTATCAAATTGACCGGTGGGAGGGCGATCCTTGCCCCACTGCGACGATATTAGCACGTAGACAATAGACGGGGTCACGCAGAGCATGTAGAGCAAGCACGATGCCAAGGTAGAAAACATACGCTGCACTTCAGGGGTCGTCCGTTGACGTTGTATCCGTTCAATTGGCAAATGGCCATGGCCGCGTTCTCATGCGTGTCCATCTTGATGAAGGCAAAACCACGGTCGGCCTGGAGACGAGTCTCCACGACGTAGCCAAAGTTCTGGAACAGGGGAACCAGGTCGTTCTGGGTGGTGTACGGGGTCAAGTTACCCACATAGCACGTGGTCTGCCACTGCGGGGTCTGCTGGACCACCATGTCGTAGCTCTGGATGCCATGCGTAGGGAAGTGGTGGTGGCCGAACGGCGTGGTTGGGGTCATGCCCATTGCGGCCATGGCCTGCTGCTGCGAGATGGAAGGTTGTCCCTTCTGGTTGGCCCAGTTGCACCGAATAGCGCGGGAGCCGAGCCATTCCCCGTCCATCGAGGTCAGGGCCTTGTCGGCCTCATTGCGGTCGCGGAAAGCAACAAACCCGTAGCCACGAGAACGGCCGGTCTTCATGTCCCACATAACCCGGGCCTCGGACACCGAGCCGAACGCATTGAACGCCTGTTGCAAGATCTCGTCGTTGACTTCGTTGCTCAGGTCGCCAACGAAGATGTGGAAGTGATTCGAGGTGTCTTCTTTGTTGGTGCTGTTGGACTGGTAGGCCCAGTTGACGCGGATTTCCTATTGACAGGCCATCAGCAATTGCTCCCAAGGGGGACTTGAGAGAACATGATCCCATACCGATTGATGGATGCGACGACCATTGAGGGTCTGCATCGCTCGTTCGGCGGCACCCGGGTCGTCGAATTCGATGAAGCCGTAGTTGTAACCTTTGCTGTTGAATTTCTGTTTCAATTAGTACCACAGGGAGTTCTCAACGCTAGAGTAAGAGTAAACACACGTTCTTGTCGGGGATGATCTTCACACTGCTGACATGGCCCGTGGTTTCGAAGATTTGTTTCAGGATATCCTCCGTCACCCGGGGATCCAGACCACCGACGTAGAGAGCTCTCTTGTTGGGCTCAGGGGCCGCCCGGCGCACGAACCCGCCCGCGCTGGTCGGAGACATCATGTTCCCGGACATCGGAGAGGTGATGGCAGTCGGGATCGGGTTGGTGTTCTGAGGAATGATCACGGGCGGGCGGGGAGGAGGAGGCATGTGGGAAGGATTCGCTGGCCCGTTACCCTGAGAGCCATCGTAATGCTGTCCGGCGGCAGCAGGCGAAGCCTGAGGGATGTTCGAGGGAGCCGAGGCGGGAACGTTATCAGCCATTGTGAGAAGTCCGCGAGGTGGAATATACAAAGGAGGCGATCCGTAATCCAAATGCTATACCGGTCAGTTACTATTATTAGGTATTTTCCTTTTTTTTTCCCCCAATTGGTAGTGTTTGATCAGGGGGGAAGTAAGGTGATGGGAAAATCTGCTGCCTGTGACGGGACGATGCAGGGCGTTACGCAGTCAGAGGCTGCTTGCTGGGTGTCAAAAGGCGGAAAGCGACGCGGGGATCGACTCACCAAAGGACACAATCGACAAGGAAATAAAGGAAAGGGAAAAGAGAAAGGGGAAGGGTTGAAGATGGAGCAACAAGCGCTAGATGAGAAGACAGAGAAAACGAAAAGCGTAGAGGGAAGAGAGAAAAAAAAAATAAACCGTCGACGAAGTGACGATTGGAGTAAAGGTGGGAAGAGTAAAAAACAAAGAAAGATTCGTGACGGATTAAAAGGCGCTAGAATCCAGACAACTCAAAACACCACTTTCTCAACGACAGCGAAGAAGTGGCCGACAAAGCTTAGGAGAACAGTCCGACAGCTAATGAAGATAGGAAAATAAGGGAAACAGAAGACGCAAAGGGGAGAAATGAACAAATCACCTTCGGATCTCGACACCAGGAGACAAACGACGAGGAAGAAGGAAAGGGAACTAGGAAACAGGTGAGAAATGAAATGGAATGGAAATGAAATCGGGAAGAACAACAGGGGGAGAAGATGGATGATTGAAGGGAACGAGGGAGTTTGGATGGTCAAGAGCCGCTGCGGGTGGGGAAAGGTGAGCTCCGATCTAGTCCGCATGGCGTTAGGCTTGCCTGGAACTTCAGACATCCCATTCTCAGAGTCTCTTTGTTCCCTCCTCAAGGCGCTTACCACTTGACCCCCAGTTGATCTATCGATCTATCCATCTGTCGCGAGACATTATCCCGGTTTATTTCTGGAAGCTCCTTCAGGTACGTTCTTTTGGATTTTTTTCTAGCCCCTGATACAGATCGTCTAGCGCTAGATACATCACATAATCACGATTCCTGGGGTGCCGTGCCTTTTTTCAATTGGACTGATGTATGACCTGTAAATCCCACTTCAGTCCAAAGTGGTAGCAATAATACCAAATGTTGTCTTAATTGATCTTCTTGTTTTTGTGCGTCTGCTCTCATGAATGATGAGCCTGTCGATTATTTGTTTAAGTGAACACTAGTCCCGATCCATTAACTGGGCATAGCAGGATCTCCATACTCTCCCATCTCGCTTCTGAAGAAGAGATCATCCGAAGCTCACGAGTATGGCTACAACAAACTATGCGGACCCCGAGTCTTTGGGGGTCCTAGCTACGATGGTCAATAAATCGGTAATTCCCCATTGATCCCGGTGGATGGACGAGAGCCTGACATGCGCTTGATAGCTGGTCGAAACCGGGCGATTCTTCCGGGCAGCAGGCTCGACGCAGGCCAGGACGCAGTTGAAGCGGACGATCCCAGTCGCCCACGAAGAATTTCAGAACGCATTGGACAATTTGTCTGAACAGATTGTGAGTGAACCTTATCAACTGTGGACAATGATACAAGTGTCCTGGGTCGACTATCGGATTCGTCTAACAGTAAACAGTTTATTGCCAAAGCGTTTTTGGAAAGGGACTACGAAGCAGTCTTGGCCCAAAAGTCCGCCCTACAACCAGCTCAAGACACCGTCATGGATGAAACCGACATCAAGCAAGACCCGGAACCTGCACCATCACAGCCTGAAATGGAGTCCGCCAGCGCAGTTGCAGAAAAAGATGCCCCAGGCCAAACGGAGCAACCCGAGGTCGCCACGGCCGAAGAAGCTGCCCCGGTGAAGCAGGAGAATCAACCTGTGAAACAAGAGCCGGAGAATAACGACGAACCGGCAGCCGCAGCTCCTGACCAATCCCCAAATAAACCAGAAGAAATCAGTTTCCACTCCATGTTAAACGACAACAGCGCCCCCAACGAGTTCGATCTCAACCTAGATTTCGGGGATGACGACCTTGGGAACGAGAATTTCCTGTCCGGGTCCAACTTTGCCAATGCCGTGGACGGCACCAACGGTCATACGAACGAGAATGATCCGTCCGCGAACACAGCCATGGAGCTACCAGGGGCAGGCGCCAGTGGGCCAGCAGGCGGAGATGTATTCGACTTGGACCTACAGAAAACAGACACCCCTGGGGGTGAAAATAGCAACCAGCAGCCAGACGCACAGATCGGAAGTAACACCGAGGATATCATAGGACCGGGGGAATCAAGTTTCGACGATCTATTCATGGAGAACGATAACTTTGGAGGAGAAGCAGGGGGAGATCCGAATCTGCTTGAAGGCGATGACTTAATGAATATCACCGAGATCGACGACAACTGGTTTTCTTGATTTATCTCTGAGAGAGAGCCTTGACCAGCGCATGAGAAGGATGGTTTGAATATCTGATAGCGTATTAGCTAATATACGGTCCCTTCTGGGGTCAACATACTACGCAAACTGGATTCGAAGCACGAAACAGCATCGTGCTAATCTACATGTACGGTCATTCAACTAGCGAGCAGACCACCTTGCTCTCAACCTCGATCGTCCAAACCCCTACGCTACAGAGTCCAGGACAGTCTCCTCACCACCCCCCGCTTTCAATTCCAGAAGGCACAAAGAATCTATGCAAGGGATAGCCCAAACCCGGAATGTGCAATGACGCAAGGCGTCAGCCGGGGTATCTTCTAGAGAGAGCTAATCTCAATTCCTGTCAAAGTTGACGCCTCAACTTTAAACCAGATTAGCTCTGCATGTGGATTGCCCGTGGCTTTGCCTCGTGTCAAGCCTATCGACCACGATCTGCTACATATATACTTTCAAATAGCCATGTTCCTACAACAGATTGTGGCGTATAGAGGTAAAGCGCTAGGGCAATCTACAGACCTCTCAATTGACCAAATGCTAAGGAATGTGCGGGTTGATAGAATCTATGAGCGAGCAGACGACAGCTAATGATGATGACTATTATACCCCGTCTAGTGATGAGGTCACTCATCACTAGACTAGGGGTTCTCATTCCAACATTCTAGAATGCAAACGATCCACGCCTAGCAGAAATAAAAATCCTTCTCTCTGTGGATCAGTGGATAGAATCCCGTACCCCGACAGCATGGAAGCGTATCAGCGCTGACCCAAGGCGCCGACCAATGCCGCGTGAGATAAGCGGCTATAGTTAGTGATTGAAGAGTGACAGATAGATTTAAGATATGAAATAAACTTTGACCGGCCCTTTTTGAAATCAGACGGGAAAATGTGATTAAAATAGAATGGACATCAAGCCAACAAGGTAAAATAGAAGAAAAAGGACAAAATAGTTGGTATTATTCAAGCATGAGCAACACTTGCAATACTGTTTGATACCCACTTCCCCTTCCTCATTCAGTACAAATATCCACAAGACCACGGCGATGATCGTGACATTTTCTTAATCTAGTGCAATAATACCATGATTTACTCCCGTCCTGGAGGGGGGGAAGGGGGGGGGGGGGGGGGCGCGACAAATATGGAGGGGGAGAATATCATGATGTCATGCAGCTCCCACCACCACACCGACAACCAACAGGTTCTCCCAGACGATCCCCGCACGGGGATTGGCGCTCGGGGAAGATTTGCACTGATGTACAGAGTACATCCACCGGTCTAGCAGACCGCCTGTCACTCACCTGAACCCTCATGTTGGTAACCTCCCTCGTGGGCTGTTCAGCTGTTATAGACTGGTGTTAGGAACGTCTTTCCCTTCTGGTCGAAAAGGCAGTTAATAATGTCGACTGGGATACTGGTTCGAATGGTGCCGGGTTATCCGCACGGAGGCAACATCCGCTTAATCCTCGGCCTCCGAGCCTCACACTGCACATTCTTCAGCTTCTTGACATTGTTAGGTGTCCATACTACCTTAGTAGGTATCGGTTGGGTGGGTACATTATGGTGCTGATAGTTATCTGAATCCATCCATATACGTGTCACATGTCCAATACACCCAGATTCCAATATCTAGGAATGGATACAGGCACTCTTGGACATTTTCTCCAACGATCCACTATGGGTCTCTTCTGTTGATAGGTGTGATTGGAGATTGTAGGTGTCGTACTACCTACCCTTCGTCAAATGATAGAGAAATAAAAAAGTTGGTCCAAAAAACCCGTGGACAAAACTTAGAAGCCCATTTAAGGTTGATCCACCGGTTTGATATCATCAATGGATTGATTAATCAACCACTTTATCCAACTTCACCCACGGATCGCCGGATCGTAAGGAAGTTTACCTCCTTCCACTCCGCGTCATCATCCCAGAATCCTAATATCTGTCATATTTCATTGTACTTTTTACCTCTCTCTCCCTTCTATCTTTTTTGATTTGACTTTTTTACTTTTTTATTCATTTTTTTACTTTCCTCTTTTTGAGACTCCGACCCTCAGAAAAGGCGCGCCTGACCCCCATATCCCTACTTAGTTCTTGCCTCGGCACCGCCTCGTTTTGTCGCAACGCCAGTACCATCACGTCCCTCGTCCACTCGTATTACGATCAAGGAAGAAGATCATTGATTCATTCTTCCTGGACAGCAGCCTGACGGCAACCCACCCCGGTACCCTACCTTACTTAACCTACTCCAGAGACCTTTTTCCCCGCAGTTCATCGACCCTTCTGGCCTTTCGCTGTCTCTGGTTTGCTGGACAACAGTTGATCATCTTCACCAAGCTACTTTACCTGGTATTGGTCTTCTGTTCCCAAATCATTGCTGCCTCGTCGTTCCCCTCTCTCTCGCCAATTTCCTCCAGATTCCCCCTCCCTTTTCCGACATATCGATATCAATATATCAACTGTGGTCCTCCTTGCGTTGGTCAGTCGATCTTCAGCCAAAGCGGACTAAGGGGTGAAAAAGCAAACCAAAACTAAAGAAAAAAAAAACTAGAAAAAAAAAGAGAAAAAGGAAAAGGAAATTAAAAATAGGCCTTGAGAGAGGTCGCACGACTCTATGCATCAGGGTTGTGGATAATCGCTCGGTCCTATCATAATCACTATAATCCCCAGTACGGTGTACTTTATAATATACCCTTCAAGCGCCCCAATTCTGATTCCCGGGTGTATCATCTACCTGCAGGGTAAGTGACTTCATTGCCTGTCGTTGCTGTTTTGGTCTTCTTCTTGCCTTGCTCCTCGCTCTTAAATCATTGGTCTTCTCTTCTTGTCGCGTTGCTTGTACATATGTGCCTCTTTTCCCACTTCCAACCAAGGGAATAGTGTTGCTGCGCCTATCCTGTTTTACTCACGCGCCTCACTATTGTTGTTTCATTCATCCCGTGCGAAACCCTCCGTTTCCTTTGCGCAGTGGCGGGTGTTGAGCGGACTAGAAAGGGAAAAAAAAAAAAAAGAAAAAAGAAAAAGAAAGAGCCCTGTCTGGCGGGATCCCTGATGTTCATGTTTATCGTCCGATCAATGATGCGGGATTTGGTCTTTTTGCAATGATGACAACTACTCACGTTCCGTCTTTGCCGCAGGAATCGTCGGGTTCGGTCTCGACTCATCCTGTCCATCAGCTTCCCTGTGGCGCGCCTGATACTCTCCCCTTATTTCCCGGCCTCCTGAACGCCAGAGCGGACCATCGCCGGTCGCTTAGCCCTCCGACACCGACTGGGTCCAGTTTGGTACCGGACCCATATTCCAAGCAAGGCCACCGTCGCAGGTCGATCTTCAGAAAGCTGGCGGGTCCACGGGAAAACGCAAAGCGCCTCCTCCGCTTGGGGGTCCCCGGTCTCATGCAACCCACCCCATCGCCACCTGGCCTCCCGATGTCTCGCTCACGCCGTCCACGTCCCGTGTCGGAAATCCTAATCTCCGCAGACGATGCTCAAATGTTGGCGGCTGCAAATACGCAGACTGGCCGATTACGATCGGACTCCTCGTCGACCATTTCGGCAAATCGACCCCGCTCGGGATCGACACGCCAGAGTACCCCCCCTCCAGAGTCCACCGCGCAGTTTCCGACCTTGCGCAACGAGAAAACTGTCGCGACGGGCAGCGGCATCACCGTCGGTGTCGCTCTCACGGAGCCCGTGCTGTATCTGCAGGGATACGATCAAAATGATCCGACCACCAAGAAGTCTGCGATTCTGCGCGGGCAGTTGCATCTCAAGGTGACCAAACCTGTCAAGATCAAAAAGGTGTCTGTCTGTTTCCGTGGACATGCTCAAACGGACTGGCCTGACGGTACGACTGGATCCATCCTGCTCGGTGCGTCCTTTTTACTCATCAACCTTGTTTCACTCTAGGAATCCCCCCGAAGAAAATCCACTTCCACGATAAGAACGACCTCGTCACCCATGGCGTCGTCTACTTCGACCACGGCGGTAGCACCCTGATGCAGAATGATTACGGTGCATCCTTCTATCGACTTGCCAAACCGCTGCCGTCCGTGACGGGAAAGGATGGAACGACAACGTTCGCCCGTGAATTTTTCCCGAAAACCGGATCCTCGACCTCGTTGAGCAGTGGTGGGTCGAAGCGGCTCTCCTTGCAATCAAATCATCATCACTCGCGCAGCTTTGGCAAGAATGATGCACCGTCCAACACCAGCGCTCATCCACCGCGCAACTACCTCATGTTCCCTCCCGGTGATTATATATATAACTTCGAATTTCCCGTTGATGGCTCTCTCCCGGAGACCATCAATACCGAACTGGGATTTGTGAAGTATGATCTTGAAGCCATCGTGGAACGGTCGGGCGCGTTCCGGCCCAATCTGCTGGGCAGCCTGGAAGTCCCCGTTATTCGGACCCCAGCCGAGGGTTCATTGGAGCAAGTCGAGCCGATCGCGATCTCGCGAAACTGGGAGGATCAACTGCACTACGATATTGTCATCTCGGGGAAGTCGTTTCCCCTGGGCACCCAGGTGCCCATCGCATTCAAACTGACACCCCTCTCCAAGGTGGAGTGTCATCGGATTAAGGTTTACGTCTCCGAAAATATACAACACTGGACAAGCGACAAGAGCGTCCACCGCTTTCAACCAGCCAAGAAGGTCCTCCTCTTTGAGAAGCGAGCGGATTCTCCCAGTACGAGCACCTACCCTGGCAGCTCTATGCGTGTCATGGCTGGCGGCGGTGTCGGCTTCGACCAGCGTGAGGCTGCGGCGCGGGGCGAAGAACTCGTAGATCGGAGTCGGACGAGTTTATTGGGAGACGTCGCCAGCGACGCAGGAACCGGCCCGACCGAGATGGAATTCAATGTCCAGCTCCCGAGTTGCCACGAAATGAAGCACCGCGACGAGTCTCAACGGCTGCATTTCGACACGACCTACGAAAATATCCAAATCAACCATTGGATCAAGGTATGCAACCCATTAGCGGATGATGGTCCACGCCGTGCTAACCTTGCCTCTTTTTCCCAGATCGTACTGCGTCTCTCCAAGGTTGACGAACGGGACTCAGGAAAGAGGAGACATTTTGAGATCTCAATCGACTCTCCCTTCCATCTCCTCTCCTGCAAAGCGACCCAAGCCAACATCTGTCTCCCCGCGTATACGACCCCGAACTCAGATCCCGTGCCGCAAGCGCAGGAGTTCGAGTGCGGGTGCCCCGGCGCCCCTCCCCTCCACCGGAACAACTCAGGCGGCCACCGTCCTCCCTCCGAAGGGGAGGAGCCATTTCCTGGACGGTCAGTCAGCCGGAGCTTCACCAACGGCTCTGGCGGTTTAGCTCTGCCTCCTCAGGCGCACTTGGCGTACGGGGCGAGCGAGCCGGCTACCGACCCGGCACCGCGTCCAATGCATCTTTTGAGAGCCCCGTCCTTCGCTCCACCTCCTTTCGAGGACGTCCCTCCACCGCCACCGCTGATCACGCCTCCCCCCGAATATACGTCGATCGTCGGCGACAACGACCGGGACGCGGTGCTCGAGGACTACTTCTCGCGGCTATCCTGCTACGAAGAGCACGCCGACGACGAACGCGGCCGAGGCCGTGTCGACGTCCCTCTCACCCCCGGCGGCCGCGTCAACCGCAGCATGGACGTTCCCCGTGAATGGGTTCGTCTGGAAGAGTCAGCCGTCTGAAAGATACGCTACCCGACCGACGTCCCCCCTTACCATCTACCATTCAATGAACGATGCACGGCTCACGGATAAACGAAATCACGAATCATTCATCAGCCTTTGCCTCTTTTTGCCTCTTCTTTTTACAAGTCTAATTCACTTTACACTGTTGGTACGATATTGGAGTTCAGCATCAAACTCGGGTATACCCGTTCGGTTTTGGGCTTGAATGTTACTTTACTGTATAGCTTGGATATTCGGGGAATTTACTAGCTGTTTCTTGCTGAGTTGGAAGATAGAGTTGGATTGGCGTTTGTATTTTTTTTTTTTTTTTTTTTTTTTTTTTTTTTTTTTAAATTATAGTTGAGGTGGGCGGATCTGACTTCCTCGTTTGGGAGTTGGTATATACATGTAGTGGTGTATATAAATCAGATAAGCACATATTGCGCGCTGTTTACGTTTGCTTTTCTTCTAGGATATTGGGGAACCAACATATAGATGAATTGGTAAGATGCTCCAGGGAGCTAGCTCTATAGAGAGAATCTATATTGGTAGGTATCTCAAATATCAAACCAACACAATCTACTACATTTGCGATGCATCGTCTCCTCGATCAGACTCGATCTCTACAAACCTCTTATTATAAAAGTAGCCATCAAATCAATCACACTTCCACTCTCCTTCAGTAGCTAACCAGACAGAGTTACCCCTATCTATAAAAAAAGAACGTCCCAACGACTAGTCCACCAAAACAGCAAAGTCACCCCTACAGGAAGACAGAACCTAAAGCTTAGCCCGACCATCAAATCCCCCCACAAAAGACGAAGTCTTAATCTCAGCAGGCTGCGCCAACAGCGGTCCCACAGCCTTGAAGAACGTCTTGAACTCCGACGAGCCGGCGTGGGCTTTCAGGTTGTCGATGTCTGTGTACCTGTATATTCACGGGGTGGGGTTAGCGGGTGGGGATGGCATGTAGCATAGCCAGTAGTTGGCGTTTACTATATTCTTAGAAAGAGAGGGAAACGGAGGGAGAAAACATACTTCTCCACAATAATAAGCTCCTGGCTCTTGGGCGGCTGCAGAGCAAAGTAGATTTGGGTCTTGGGCTCCTGTTCCTGGACGTGCTTGGAGAGGGTTTTGAATGCTTCCACGAGCTGGTTATATTATATTATATTCGATGGTTAGTCTGAGTGTAGGATAGGCGCGTATGAATACCTGGGTACTAGTTGATCAGGGGTGGGTTTTATATAGGGTATGAACACACCTCGTTGAACTTCTCCGGCCGAGGGACGAGCTTCACGATGTTGTAGATTTCTCCTGCCATGGTGCTTTCTTTTCTGATAACCCTTCTAAGCTTGTATATGAGTTGAGTTTGGAAATAAAGGTTTGTGTAGTGTCTTCACTTTGTGTCTACGAGGTACGTAGCTACATGCTACTACTATCAGTATGGGTTCGGGCCGGCAACGGTGAGAGGAAAGTGGAGAAGCCGAGGATGTGCGGTTGCTGAGGATTAACCGATCACATAATCTTGGGCTTTTTTTGGGAGCTTCGTTATTGGGGTGAGCTTATATGTTGGATATAAGTGCTGTCTGATTACATTATCAAATGCTACCTTCAAGTTTCTGATATTAGTAGGATGCTGTGGTTTCAATTTGGCGTCAATATATTTGCATACTTGGGCAGTCACATGATATCATACCGATGACGTAAGGAGCCATTCCTGCTCCAGATTCGGAAATAGCGAGCTCAGACCACCGACCCTACCAGATCTCTTTCTCCGATCAGCCTAGCCCCGCGAAGATGAATGCTCGACATCAGATCTGCGGTCAAAGATGAAAAAGTCGCTTCTTTTAGTATTTATTCACGGCTTCAAGGTTTGTCTCACTCCGTCCTTCGCCGCCTGTCCAGAAGACATGCGCCTGTGTCAGACGCCCGCAATATGCCAGATCGGCTTGCTGACAAGTACATCGATAGGGAGACAATGATACTTTTGGGAGTTTCCCCGAACGCCTAAAGGCAGTGGTGGGCCGCTGTCTGCCCAACGTGCAGGTCGCCACCGCTGTGTATCCTCGGTATGATACTCGCGGCGAGCTGAAAGAATGTGTGGCCAATTTTCGGGAATGGTATGTTGTCGACGCGCGAACGATGAATCTGCGCGAGTAGTTGACTGACTTTTTGATATACAGGCTACAGAATCAAGTTATTGATTTAGAGGTCGAGAATCAGACCCCGTCGCCTACTGTTGACCCTTCCGTCCATGTCTTCCTTATCGGCCACTCGATGGGTGGGATTGTTGCTGCGGAGTCGTTGATCCTGTTGGCCTCGGAGCAGCCGATACCCCCGAAATCCGCCACGGCTCCGGAGGAGGATACGGGGAAAGCCCGTGCCTCTCCTGTTGTAGAACCTGGCTCGTTTATGTTCCCGCATATTCAAGGCGTGCTGGCTTTTGATACTCCTTTCCTGGGCATAGCGCCAGGTGTTATATCCTACGGAGCTGAAGGGCATTACAAGAATGCCTCGTCTGCGTACAGCGCAGTCTCTGAGGTAGCAGGATTATTCGGATTCGGCGGTAATAGCGCGTCATCCCCCAAGGGGGCTACCAACCAGGAGGCTCGATCGAAACAGCAAACTCCTGCAGTGACCAACAGCCCGGAGCCATCTACAGATGCCGCCGCGACACCTTCCTGGCAGCGATGGGGCCGGTACGCCATGTTTGCGGGAGCTGCAGGCGCAGTTGCTGCAGGCGGCGCAGCAGCTATCTACTCCCAGAGACACAATATAACCAGCGGATGGGGCTGGATCTCGTCGCATCTCGAATTCGTTGGATGTTTGACACGGTCCGCCGAGATGCGCCAGCGTTTGGACCGCTTGGCCGAGGTCCAGAGGGACCGGGGCATCGGCTGCATCAATTATTATACGTGCCTGGGCAAGAATGCATCAGCGTTGGTCGAGAACACCGGTCCCGGACAGACCTCTTTTAGTCAAAAGATCATACGGTCAAAACACCGCACATTCTGCACCCTGCCGGTAAACGTAGAGGGCCGGGACCTGCCTGTGCAAGAGGGTCCAGGTCTCGGATGGGTCCGAGCGGTGAACGATAATGCAAGCGACGAAGTCAAGGCGCACATTAGCATGTTTCTGCCCAAGCAGAACCCTGCCTTTTTGGACCTCGTTGGCGATGCATCCAAATGGCTCGTGAAGTCCGTCGACAAGAGCTGGTACTCCTCCGCTACGGTTGATGAGCGCATTCCACGGACCGACAACAGCAAGGGTGCGGACGACACTGATAACGGATTCATGGATGGAGACGATGTCGTGGTTGTGGATTAGATTCGTGGCTTGAAAAGGATCAAACACGGGAAAAAGAACCCGAGAAGAGGGAATGAAAAATCATGTTGAACCATTTTAAAGGTACTGCAGGTCTAGCCTCTGGTCGAACAACACAATTCGCCTAAATCACCGCGAACAGATGCTACGAATCCTGTGGGATGGGAGGGAATGATTGACCAATTCCTGCCAATTTAGGGATTAGGATTCCGTTCCAAGCCACCAAAGCCATACGGTATCGGCAGGGATGCAGCAATCATCAACCCCTCGTCGATCGTTCCATGCCTTCCGAGGTTCCATATTTCGCCCTATCGCGGAGTGACACCTTGTGGGTTAGTGTACTAAGTACGCTGTCAAAGGTCCGACCACCGAGACGGAATATTTGCAGGTGGGGTCAGTCTCACTCCTGTCATGTCTGTTTCCCGGTCGAGCGCCTGAGCCGACTGGTCCTTGCGCCGAAGATGGTTTATCTTATGGCATGATACGGTATACGCCGGAGTGGTCTGACTGCTGGTACTATAAAACGGAGCTTAATTACTTTAGGTAAAAGGTACGCCGACCAGGATGGGAGTCCAATAGAATAACAACCATCTTTGAAATCTTTATTAAACTTCAATTACTGGGAAGATAATAATATTGAGTTATCTATTCTGTATACTTCAACCGGCACAACAATCTAAACATCATTGAGGGGCCGTGAGTGACCGCCCACCAACCTTCTCCAACCGGTCGTCCTGACGAGCCTTCGGAATCCTTTTCCTAAATTGATTGATCAACGTGGATCTAGACTTCTGCACATGCCGCGCGCACCCGCTTAAGCCGTGTACTAACTAACTTCTTTATTCGCTTGTTGCATGAATACTGAATACACTGGTAGAGTAAATCCACTCCTGGATTCTGCTATATTTTTGATTTTGTATTTATGTTGCTTTTACTATTTTCGTTTCGATTTCATTATTAATTTGTCTTTCTCACTTTTGTATTTTATTTCGTTTTGTTTATCTTGATAGTTTGGACTATATCCATCCATATTTAACCATGATTTATATACCTAACAAACTATATATCCCCGTCGTTAGCCGTTCAGGCAGGCCCCAGGTGCTACGTACGCTACCTACCGGTCCGGCTGATGGCACCATCTTCATGTAACTATATTAAAGTGTATTGTACTTAGTTACTAGGTACCTAGGTGCCTCATCTACCTAAAGTACTAGGGCGGGTGAAATAAGTACCGCAGTAGACTAGCCGACAGTAGTACCTAGCCTATTGACGGTTAATTTTACCGGATCTCGCAGGGATGTTGGAGATTACTCGTTTTTGGTCAAGGGATTTGCTGTATTGTGGTGCGTTGTACATAGAATTTGGAGGATGGAGGGGTATTATTTGATATGGTTTAACCCTTGGTTCTTTTACTGTCTTTCTGACCGCGATAGGATCAGTAGGTATTGGAATTTCGGATCCTTGTTGATTAATAGGTTTGTTATGGACGGGTGGTTGGTAGATGTTTTTAGATAGGAATATAGTATGAAATAGGATTGCATGGAATTAGATGAATGGGTAAAAACGGATGTAGTAGATTAACCAGATATACAGCGCAGCGTAAGAAGCTTATATGACAGATGCTAATTCACCGGGAAGTGTCTAGGCAACAGCTAAAACCAAATGAAGGGTGATGAGAAATGCAGTATACGCAACATAGCGCTCGGATCCATTCGTCGGTATTGTCTGAAGAAAACGGGTTCCGTCGGAAAGAGTTCAGTTCGTGCCCGCTAGTGAACTCAAATTTATGAATTTGTGCGAGAAAAAAAAAAAGATAAAATAATATGATAAACGGGTAAAAAAGACAATGCGGTGGAAGGTTAATACTGGTGGACGTTATAGGTCGACGCGCGATGGTGATACATGCTTCCGGCGTACTCCGAGTTCGAATCCTGGAAGCCCGTCTGTCGGCGGTCCTCTTCGGGGAGGAGTTCTTTCACTTCCCACGTGTTGGGTTTGATGCCAACGGAAAATTCCAGATCTTCCTTGGTGATGTAATCCCAGAACTGCGAGATCAGTTATGCCCTTGACAGTCGGGTTCGATTGGTGGCTTACCTTGTAGACCATCATGACGGCAAGTAGGTTGCAGAATGTGGCGAAGAAAAGTCCGTCAAGGTAGTGCTGGACGTTGTCGCAGATGGTGTCGCTGAATCCGTACAGGATGACCTGTCCACAGATGAACACCAACACGCCGAAACAGATGTGGCCCAGCGGCCAGCGGTCCTCGAGGGTGTTCATCACCAGCAGCAACTGCATGACTAGATACACGGCAATGCAGACCGCATTCAACAGATACAAAACCACGAACATGCCGACGGTGCTGGTCGGACTCAGACCACCCCACGACTTGAAGGTCAGTAGCGACACGAGGAAGGATATGGCGAACATGGCCACTGATGTCAACCGCAGTAGCCAGACGGAAAGGGCAGTTCCATCCTCATAGAGCTGGAAGCCCACGAACCCGTTGACAAGTAAAGATGTACACAGCGAGGAGGTCAGTCCGCTCTGAACGGCAACAAAATATGGGAACGGCCCGCTCCGAGGGGGAACAACTCCCGCATCGATGATCAAAGAGCACATTGTCAAGAGCATGTAGATATAGAAGAACGTGATAATCTCCTTGCGACCTGTTACAAAACAGTACGAAGCCCCCCGTTAGAATTGATCCGTCGACCCAGATCGGAGAATTGAAACGTACCGACTGCAGTGAACTTGGACCGGATGTGCAAGATCATAATCACCGTCATTCCCAGCGCAATAATATGGACAAACGATGCAGCGCCCTCGAAGATGATCGTGTTGGCGACCTCGACATTCCTCGCATAGCAGTTGGGAATGATTCCGGTGGAACCTGTAATCGATGAGGCGGGGCCCACCAGGGCGCAAAGCGGCAATGCCGCTTTTTCGCAGATGGTGTTGAAATCACCGAACCCCATCGCGGCGGATGATCGCGAAACTGTACACAGGTACGGGAGTGCGCGAAATGTACGGGTATGATCGCAGTCGAATCTTGGTTTGTTTGATTATTTCGATGGATAGCAGATCCTCGTCTCCACAACGACCGAGGCCACCCCACGACCCAAATCGCAAGTCTCTCCTCAGTGGACCGCAGTGAGTGCTATCTCACAGAAAAGACGGAAGAAACAAGCGCACCGAGATAGGTGAGAATGAGCGCAAAGAGTTCGGAAATCGCCTAAGCAGGGTTCGCGATCGATCCCGTAGCGATGCTGACGAGGAATTTTGATGCTTTTGCGAATCGGTCGCTGGGGTTGGTGATCACGGGGTGCACCAGGGTCAAATCGGGACTGGTCTGGCCTGAGAGATGCCCCAGGCGCAACATGATGGCGCTAACCATAAATGGGAAAGTTCCTGGTGAGCCCGCTAGGCGGTCAGTCCCGCCCGTCTGTGCCTGGATGCCTGCCGGCCGGCCTGGCCTGAGGTTCTATTCAGGTACACTTCCCCACTTATAGTTAGTCCAGGTGCTTTTGGTGAGTATGAGGTTAAAGTAGGGTAGGATTATAACAGGAACAGTTAGAATGTTCTAGCTTCAGAATTATAGTAAATACGTCAGCAAATCTTCATGTTGGTGTTGTATAGTATCTATTTAGTACTTGTATCAGACCCCATGTTCTTGCGTGTCATGGATTCCCAGGAAAACACGGCACATGCAAGTATGACCATGCTAATCACCCCTATACCGAATCCTAGGTCTATGAAAAGTGCTATTGCACGGTCTGCCTTTGCGATGCCAAATGTGGCTTTGAACGCCCCCTGAACAGCGATTACTTCAATCTCCCGAATCGCGATAAACAAGCCTAGCTATCTCCACGACAACAGACACAATCTGCGATGCAAGCGGATTCAATTTCGCTCCGTGGCCTCATAGAATATTCCCGGCTGCAAAAATCGAGTCAGACCACCGATAAGGCCTCGCGGAAGAAAAGGCTAGTAAGCTTTGTTTACAAGGTTTCAAGTCCATCCCAGCAAACCCCACTATAAGTAGTGGGTACGTCAGGGGGAGTAGCCGTGAGATTATCAACGCATCCCAGGCGCCGTGGCTTCTAGTATCGGTATGATTAATTGCCGCGGTCCCAATGCTGTCTGTCACTTTCGATGCTGCTCAGTACAAGTCAATCATATCAAAAACGGGAAGGGTTTCCGGCCGCGCCCCGACTTGGATCGGGTTCCTTTCCTTCTCGACTCGCCTTACTCAACGTCTGAGAGGCCTTTAGTGAGTTTGTATGCTGACGTTAGTGCTTTTAACCTAAGAGCGACTTCTATACTGGATCGTCGATGGTGATCTTGCGAGTAAACCGAGTAATTTCGTCACTGGGCCATATGCGTCATTTCGGTCACCATTTTCGGTCACTACTTGAAGACAAGAAAAAGAACAAACACAAGAAAGCAAGAATAAATGAACCAAAGTAGAATCAATCAAATTAAGAAGAGAGAAAAAATCGAATTCGCTGGGGAAGGTCCTGTTCAAGTGGACACGTCGCAAGATAATGCCACAGTTGCTGTGTGTCCTTATAGTACTCAAGAAAGTTTAGAGAAAGTAGATGGAACGCAGTCTACGGAGTATCATGCCTAAATTATCCAGCGGAAAGAAGCGAAACATAATAAAGATAAAGGTAAAATAAATGAACAATATTGAGTTTTAATTAGAAATTCATTTATTCCTTTTTGGCTTCTGTCTTTTCAGTAGCAGACAAGGCCCCTGACGAACCGTTTTCCAAGGCGTGACACCCTCGTTCGTTGGCCGAGTTTTATCGAAACCGTTTGGTTGCTTCCTCCAGGACGTTAGGTTCTGGGCCTGTGCGTGAGGTGTATAGTACAATGAAAGTGCTTACTCCATTGACTGGGGTTTAACTTTGACGCTATTTCCCTTCCAGTCCCTTCCGCTAATTGCTCGGTACGTCGATTCGGCCCCATAGTGCCAGCCTAGTACTACGGAGTACGGACAGACCCCCATTTCAGCCGATTTCTTCTATCGCATTGGATTCGGCTTTTCCTTAGTCTGCGGTTGGTTCGCTTCTCATTTCCTGGTCTAGAAAATCAGGGGTAGGAACCAATGAAACGTACTCGAACCGAGAAGTCGATGTGGATTGTACCCACCTGCCAGACCTACATCTCTACCTAGTCACCTATCATCAGGTATTCCACCAACTCCCCTAACTTTCATAAAGGACACATATGACTAGAAAATTTGCGTACAGAGGATTCACTGCTATGGAAGCTTAACTTGCTATCTTGACTGTGTAAATTCATCCTATGCGATGCATCTGGGACAGAAAACACGCCTCGGCATGATTTGAACCTAACATGTACACGTCCGCCACCAGAAGCTAGCCCCTTTCAACGTGAAGTTGCTGATGTCATGGGTCGACTCTTGCACCCACGGATAGGCAACTTCGGGAGCTTAGTATAACATCTGACGAGATACCTGGCCCCTGTCAAGACGCGCAAGGTCAGCCGGCATGAATGGGATGGTTCGAACGGACCAATGATGGCAATATCCACCTAAATATTGTCAACTCCTATAATTTGATATCCATCATCTCATCCCGAACTTTACTCCGTGGGGCAGGAAAGCCGTTTCCATGTTGGCCAAGTCGCCGTTAGTGGGCCATTGTTGTCTAATGTTTGCTTTTTGAAACAGTCGCTGGCACTTCCCTTCGTCTGCTGGACAAATCTCTTCTCCTCTTCTCTCTCGGACAGACAACGGTGACGATGACCACCCACACAGTAACATGGCACCCCTTCCAACTTTCTTCAATCTTGTAACCCTCCATATTGCGCCTGCATGATAATCCTGGCTAGCGCCACGTGCGGGTGAAGCATCAACGGCTGCGAGGGACCGCGTCGATCTCCCATTGACCCGATCCGGCCAACGGAGATGGGTCCTGGTGTTTCACCCTTCAGGTAGACCAGGCCGTCTGGTGGACCAGTTCTTCTCCCCCGAGGATACATGCTCCTTCATACCTTTAGCGATTTAATATCCTTAGCCGCGGCATTATTCCACTCTCAAGTGTTGCATCTTGGGTGACGTTCGATGACGCTAGACCTCCACCTGGGCAAGGATTTATTTTACGTTTTTTTGATTTTGAGTTTTTCTATCTTATTTTGTTTTTCCTGCGTTCTTTTCTCTCTTCCCTACTATTTTTCCTTTACTTTTACCTTATTTTTTCCACCCTTCCTCAATATTAACATTATTGATTATTTCAATTTATTTATCTAATCTTTTATCAACCGAAACGCCCGACAGTTTCTGCTACCACAGCCGGCGGGATAGTTGAGAAGCGAGGCATCCCGGCATCAATTTATCAATGTACCAATTTATTTGATTGGATTTAAATTTAATAATTCAACAATTCAATTCTTTCCTTCTTTTTCTTTTCTCTTTTTTCACTTCCCTTATTTTTATTTTCCATTTTTTATTCTGATTTTTACTTTATCTTATTTTACTTAGTTTTTTTTATCCCTCTCTTTCTTCTCTCTCACCATCTCCGCCCCCTGCTGGGACTTTCTTGCACCCGGCTTGTGATGGGCCCTAAACACCCCCAATGTTTCTAAATGGCAAACACCCTCGCCTGTCCATGCCCGCCATGACAGCATGTGTCTGCACCTGGCATTTGTATATTACCGGCTCCCCGTCCAGAGCTCCAGTCGACAATTGACCGTTCGACTTCTTCTATAGTGACTATAGAGTTGGTTTTTCCCTCCCCACGGCCTAGGCGCCATTGTCCTCCAGTTCGCTATCATCAACATATGGTATACAATATACATCGAATTAAACGCTTCGTCTCTGGTCAATCAACATAAACTCTATATCCTCCCCTTCCTCTTCTTCTCTCCGCCCTCCCTGAAACCTTGCGCTTCCCGCCTTCGACTTGACCGCAATGTGCAATTACTTCAAGAACTACCACATCTACAGCACCTGTCGCGAGCCCTCGGCGCATTTCATCGAGACTTCGCTGGACGACACGGACAAAAAAGAGACTCGATGCAAGGATAGTCCCCACGATCGGTTCATTGTCGTCATTGGGAAATGTCGCCTATGCTGTTGAACATCCACTACCTGTCTGGGATGTATATGTATGGACTGGTTGCGTGACACCCTCGCATCAGCCCTCCATCTGCGCGGCATGGACCGCTGCAACTGCTGTGCTCTGCGTCTTCGTTCAATTCGTGCCTTCTTGAATGCGCCTTGGATGGGCTGGTTCCATGGATTTCGACCCGACTACGTGACTCATGATCCGTGACGATCCCGCATATCTCTCGAGATAATTGTTTCGATCTTGTTAGATGGTTGTGGTGGAAAGGGGACGTGTGGACCGTCTTCTTTTTTTTTTGGCTGTTTCCATCTTCGACTATTTCCCTCTTCGCGGTTTTCTTTCCATTTTCCTGTTCTGTTTCGACTTCCCCCCTCCATGCCTTTTTTTGTTGATATCCCCTTTGCTTTTTTTTTTTTTCATTCGCCTCTCCACATTTTTATCCTACAGGATAGGATATGATATACGGTATCGGGAACTTGGATTGGTATTTGGGATTTGCTTGTATGCAGCATGGTGCTAAAACGGAGTTAAAAAAAAGTGGATACTTAGAATTGGTTTGCGATAGTTATTTTATCTTTTATGTTTATTCCTTTTCTTCTTTTGCTTTCTTTTCGTTGAAAAATATTACCCATTGTTCCAAGTCTCCAGCTGTACAGAGTAGACATTGCTGTGACATCTCCAATGAGGGGCAAAAAAATCATCTTACCAGGTAGATGAGGGGAAAATAAAATAAAAAAATAAATAAAAAATCCAAAGGGGTGAGGCGGGGGTAAGGTGGAAAAATAAAAACATCAAATCATCTACTAGCGTTGCGACGAGGTATATTATATTGGGTAGGTACTGTTTGTTATTATAACCAATTTCATCATAAACTATCCTGC